TATCCAGGACAAGCTTCGACGTATAACAGCTGACAGTAAATAATGAAGGCTCATGATATAGGGAACCGATAATTGGTCCCTTTTTCCGCACATATCATGAGAAAGAACATGATATGGACCACTTTTATACCTCGCGTCTGACGGTTTTTCTTTCCAGCGGTTTACCCAATAAGCTTGGTACTTCATGTATTATTTCATTTCTAACGTGTCTTAAAATATCATACAAAAGATTGCCGTAGATTATAATGACATAAAGTATCATCCTTTATTGTGGAATCCAATATGGCGTATCGTAATGTTGTTAAAAACCCAAGATTACAATCGAGAATATTTCTTACCAATTGGTTTATGAAGATAGTCAGACCTGGTAGAGAGCTCGATGATAATGTAGTACAGTTCCATGTGCCTTTGGAGTAAGTATATCTTGAATGTTTTGCTTCGATTTTTCATCCTTTTTGGCAGCAAATAAGCATGGAAACCTCAGCTGATCTTTGGTTTTTCAACAGCATGTCGAAGCTAGATATAAAGAACTACTTAAAAAGCATATACAATGTTGATGTAGCAAGAATCARCACTAGAATACAAGAAGGTATTGATCTAAAAATGTTTTAGAGTTTTCTTGTCGATTAAATTTTTCTTTTTTTATGTTATTTAACTTCTTCTTTTCCTTCATTTGAAAATTGAGGCAAATTATCGTTGCAGGTAAAACAAAAACGATTGTCAAAGGTGACAGATTAGTCAAGAACAAGTACCCTGATTATAAAGTTGCATATATTACACTAGTAAGTACTAAATAGATCTTGAAATCCTTCTTTTACCATATCAAAAAAAAAAAAGTTTTATTGATAAGGTAAAACAGCCTGTTTAAACTCAGGGCATGGCTAACTTAGAGATCAATTTGCAATTTAGTGTGTTTGGTTATGCGGAGGGATGAATCAAGGAAGAGACGTAACAAACTCTACTCACATGTGATGCTGAGACCAGAAATCAAACCCAATTTAGACCCAGGAGAAAAACCCTTGAATCAAGGAAGAGACCTAACAAACTCTACTCACATGTGATGCTGAGACCAGAAATCAAACCCAATTTAGACCCAGGAGAAAAACCCTCGAA